CACACACACACACACACACACACACACACACACACACACACACACACACATATACATATACATATATATATATATATGTAGATGAATCCTACAAACTTATTTAAAAAACTGAAGAGAACAGAACTTTTATTGGTAAGTTCAAAGCATCTTGACAGGATGCTTTCTTACCTGAGGTGCATTTGAATCATATTCCATGAGCAGGGGTGCAGTTTAAACGATGTGTGATCCATGATATCACAATGAGGAAGAGGGAGAAGGCAGGCAAGAATACTCACTGCAAGGTCCTGGACCAGCTTCTCCTCAAAAGAGTACTCCTCTGTTTCTATCCATATGCTTTGATATGCCAGGAGGAAGAGGTTAATAGAACGATGCCTAGCGAGGGGTGAGAGGAAATTAGCCTGGGTTAGATAGGAAGAGTGCAAAAGGAGAAGGGGGTGTCCCTTTAGGAGGTGTTAATACGGGTTAATTTAGGGAAAATGGCACATCCAACTGATCACTTATGGACTATTGATAAAATTGGCGTTTTTATTTTAGAATTACAGATGAGAATAACAGAAAATTATTAAAGAAAGTGCAGGACTGTGCATCAGTTAGAGTAAATAGATTAAACTAATTTCCAGTTTTAGTTTATTTGTGTAAAAATCGAGGAACGTCTGCAATCAAGAACAATTCAGATTTTTTTCACTTTACATTACTGTACAAAATGCTATAGTTAATTGTTTATTGTTTGTGGGATTCCACAAGTAAAAATGAACTTGATTTGTTTAGCATATATCAAGAACAGCACATTATCCCTGTAAAGCATCTCATTATGACTGTCAATCTGTGGACCAGTGGAGGTGCCAGAGAAAACCTGAGATAAAACCAGAAGCAGAAACCGTGCCTGGAGAAAGGAGAGCAAGCTCAGCTGAAGAGAGAACCACAAGCCAAACGGCGGTAACTCTATAGGTTAGCACTTCATTACCGTCGGCATTGAGAGCAGACTGTCGTAGTCTGTGTTCTCATGCATTATCCCCAGCCAAATGTGTCGGTAGGAATTCATGAAGTAATTATTAGTTTTGTGCCTGATGGGATGAGGCAGAGGTACAACAGAGTGTAACACTGAGAACAGAGCAGGGACTGAAAAGAGAGACAAAGGAGAGAAGATGACGCCTGAAAGAACATAATTGGTTACAGAAGAAGCTTCACGTCCTCTCAGCTCACAGAAAGAAAAAAGCTCCTGCATTGTACATAAGGGCTAGTAATTACTAACTATGCTGAGTCATATTTCACCGTCAACAGCCCTGAATAAATGAGTCATGCTGTCAAGCAGGCGGCCATGTCTGAGCACATATTAAAAACAGCCACCCCGAAGGTTGGGCATCATAATTGTTTTCCTCAATTCTGTGGGCCTCCTGCCTGACTTCCTGTGATTGAGTTACCGAGCAGCAGGCTGTAAAATTGCCAGTGTCCGTATATTTCTACTCCTGTAAGTAGACCGCAGCTGCAGGCTTTGTGTGTTTGCTACAAACAGAGAGAGGCAGTTCATTAAAGCAGGGTCTGAATCCAGGAAGAGAGGGAACGAGCGTAGCTGGAGAGGTGATGCCACAGAATATTGTGCTGCACTCTCCCTTCCCCATCTGCTCCAAGCACCGCAAAGGATTTTCTTTTAGTGGAGAGCTGATTATCAGAAAACTGTTTAGACTGAGACAGCATTATAAAAAAAGGAAATGAGTTGTGAACATTTCAGATGTAATTGTACACAATATTACCTCGGCAGATTATAAAGTGGAGCCATTCGGAAGCAGGCAACAACCGCTCGCTTTCTCTGTTTGGACAGCAGCTTCTGCCAGACACATTTTTTGGATCGTAGCGGCTGCTCCACCTAATAAGGGTAGAGAAAAAATATATATATTGACAATCTGTAAATCTGTTCTACAAAAAAGTTAATCAGAGAAATAAATCACTGCTGCAAAGTGGAACTTGTATTTTCCGTGTGCACCCAGGCATTTCTCCTTTCTGCACTGATATTTAGTACTTTGGTGACTCATCCCGAACCTGACTGTTTTACATGCAAAGAGTAGAAAGAGAGGTGCTAGAGCTTTTACAGATGACTGCAGCGTTAGTCATCCATGATAAACCAAATAGAAAGGAGTTTATAGGCCCAGATATTTTTATCTACAGAATCAAAATTACACTGAGGTCACCCTGAATGTCACTGAAGGACAGCTTGAGTTTAATATATATATATATATATATATATATATATTTTTTTTACATTAACTATATGCATTTTGTGATCTTTCTGCCTCGGCAATTTCATAAGCACGTAACTGTAGAAAGCATCAAAAACTCTAAATATGACTGAATGCAGAAACATTTGACCTGTTCCAGGTTAAAGATGGCAGCAGAGATCCTCTGGATCCGATCCACCACTCGTTCTGGGTCAGGAGGGCCTTCAGTCCTCATCACTATGTCCTTATAGAGGTTCAGCTGCCACCTCACAGCAGGATCCTCTGACTGAGTTTAATTTACACAAGTATGTCAGACAAAGTAGTTTGAGGTAAGATCACCTGCAAAAAGCAGCAAAATGTTTGCTCTGTTAGGGTCTGCTTACCCGTTCTCGAAGGTGCAAATTCTGACGTATATGGTCTTTAACCTCTTCATCTGTGTCTTTCTGTTGGGCAATGACAGGAAACAACTTTCAAACAAACATACAGTGCATGGTACAAAAACTGTCCACATCATCTAAAGGATGGACCAAATAATAAATAAAGTAGACAATTTGATGATGTCCAAGCAGAGGAAATGTTCTTTATTACATGTTTTTCTAGGAAAGTTATCAAGGCTATCAGATGAAAGAGAGAATATAAAGTGTAGTGAAGAAGAAACCCTGCAACAAAGCACCTCAAAGTATCTAAAATGTATATTCAGCTGCACTACTTCAGTAAATGTACTCTCATTATACATTCCTGCAGTTTTTCTATAACGGATTAGCATGTTTCCTTGCATCTGGAGGCTTGTGTAATGAAAGTATTCCTGGAACAAATTCATATTGCTAGCTTTCTTGCATTCAAAAAATATCTCATGTTAACTGTTTCAAAGTATGTGTTGCGGCTGACTTTCAGCTACTACCAGACCAAATGCTAGCTCAGTACATTTAAAAATGGCCAAGTTGTAGCCATTTCTTAAGGTATTTGCTCTTTCGCTTATAAATGTTTCCTCACCATGAGGTAGCGGGTCTTGGCAAGAGAGATGAGCTCCTGGTCACCAGGGGTACACATGTTGAGACCAATTGGCAGCATCTTCTTCAGCGCGGCCACAATGAGCGAGGTCTGGATAGAGTAGAACTCACCGCGCCTCTTCTTGTGTTTCCTCTCCTGGTCTTGTCCTCCAGACTGAAAGGATAACCATACAAACTTCAGAAAACACATACTGGTAGATAAAACATGGGAGCCGCAAGCTGCTGCATAAGCTTAGCCTCTGAAGGTAGCAGCACTAAGACATTTATTTTGTCAAAATAGATGCTAATGAACTGTGAACAAACAAATCTATCAATGCCACTTTTAGCAGTGAGGCTTCACCTCAAAACAACTATTTTTGTTATACTTGCAAAATATTGTTCACGATGCAAAATTATGCTGCTGAATCAAACTGGAGCAGCGGTCTCAGTACAAACACTTATCTTCATATCCACAGACATATACTGCATATACATAGACACACATAAACAACATAACACACTGACTTCACCAACATATAAATATCCTATAACTATTGGCCAAACACAAGAGATTATCAACATTAATCACCTACAAACACACAAATGAACACATGATTTACATGACGGAGCTCCTTTACTTTAAATGAGGTGTGTTTCACTCGAAACGCAATGAGCAATGACCAAAATGACCACGTCTCATAGAATGAAAAATGGAGGCCACAAATATTCAGTATAATATACACTAGAGGGGTATCATAGCACATCAGCACAAGCTATTGGCTTTTCTGCTTGGCGGAAATATGATAGAAGCCAATAAGCTGGCAGGTTAACAGCTCATGCACTGCATCACTCTACCTTTTCCTTAAAGGACTGTTAGAGGGACAGAGAGAGGTAGAGGAAGACAGAGAGAAGCAGATAGACAAAAGGAATGAAAGTGCAGTTAGTGAAGGTGCAGGGTCCTCACATGAGCATGCACTGCAGTGGAACAAAACATGTATTTGCCTTTTTAAAAGGTGCCCCAGGCAATCAAGATTTAAAATGCACTCCTGTGACACGGAAGGGTTGAGGAATGAAAATCGGTCTGTTTTATCAGCCGTGTATGTGCATTCACACTGACATTATACACACACACAGATGAATGTTGATTTTTTTTAAGAGTTACATACTTAGCTCCTTTAAATTTGATACAAATGAGCTTCATTTGTAGACTTCTTTGTCCCAAATGTGTGTGTGTATTTTTGTGCAGTAGGCGTTTCCACATCTTTAGGTTTGAGTATTTATCATGTTAACATACACGCACATGTACATACATATTAATGTTTTGACATGGCAGAAAACATGTTAACATGTTCCCATTTGCAGTGTGTTTGTAAGTATCTTGTAGAAACTAATAGATTTTCTTGTCAACAAAGAGTTCAGGATTAATCTGCTGCAGTGTAAAGTCCAGAACATAGGGTGGCAGTGTTGAGAGGAAGCAGGCTGGTACAAAACTTACCTTTGACATCTTCGTTTTGTTGTCTCCAGTTAAGAAGGACAGATTATTGATTTCATTCTGTACCACAAAATTCTGCTCTTCTCTTTTAAAATTCTGAAAACAATGATAAAGTTTATGCAATGGTAATGGTCTGAATTCGTAAAGACTTTTGGTTTGAGAATGAGACTTACATGGGATTTGCACCAGAGAATAAATATCTCTGCAACCATTCTGAAGAGCTCATTGGAGTCCGTATCTGGTTCTTTTAGCCACCTGGACCTGCGATATCAGAGAAACTTTCATTTATAGTCTGTACGTTTCCTTCAGACAGTAAATTCAGCGCAGTCTCAGTCAGTTAACCTGTTGTTGTCCACATAGCGGATTAGCATGGGGTAAAAGGCATACAGATCCCTGCAAAGGATGGCAAATTCATCCAGGATGAGCAGCTCAGCCTCCTGAGTGTCTCCTTTACAGTCTGCCTTAAGAAGCTCCTCTTCAGCCACCACCTTCACTGTCTTCTTCTTAAGTTTCTCTAGCGTGGGTAAGAAGTGACTCTTCAGCAGGTCTGCACGAGCCTTGCTGATGATGGGTTGCACATAAACTGAACAAGGAGAAAAACATTTATTTAAACCAACCCTTTTTCTTTGTCATCGCACAGTAAAGAGCTTTGATTTTCGCTACCAGCGATTCTCTTCATCCACGAGGCCTCGTCGATGCCCAGGTTGTTGTTGAGGATCTTGAGGATGTTGCCGAGGATGAGGCTGAGGTGCTCTGAGGTGACTGTGGTGCAGCAGATGCTCCCCCCACTGGCGGGCTGGTTTTCAGGACCTCTCTCCCACCAGTAGGACAGATAGTTGCACAGCATGGGCAGCACCACCTCGATCACATGCGGCATCTCTGTGTACCGCGCTCCAGACTCAGCCATGTCGTTAATGTCTTTCATGAGGCCGTCAAGCCGCGGCATCCCTGGACACATCTCTTCAACTGATTCCCGTATTCCGAGGACTAAAACATCCAAGAGGATTAACATCACATAAAATCATGTTTTTTTTAATATTATATCTATTAAAAATTGAAGTATTTTAAATGTGATAACTCACCGGCTCTATCTCTGACACTTTTGGTATTGAAAACAGAGCAGGGGTTGTATGTGTTGAGCTTTGGCTCCAGGAAGGCTACAGGCATGGCCCCCGCCAGAGTAGCCAGGCAGTGTCCCAGAGCTGGCAGCTGCCTATTGGGGTACAAATTAAATAAATTGCAACGGGTTTGTTTTTGGTCAACGTTGTTCATTCAAAGCAACATTTAAGCTGAGGATACCTCTCAACATATATGTTTTTCCCTGTGCCCAACGCATAGAGACTGGTCAGGATTCGATAGCAGGATACCTGGACATCATCCACTGGGGAAAAAAAAACACAAACAGGAATTAGGAAATTAAAGATGGCTGCCGATATTCTTGTTGTATAATACTGCACAAAATTTGTAAAGCGGCACCACTTTCTTAATATTATGTTACATAGGATTCAGACCTTCATGCATTTGCAAATTGGTCTTGATGAACAGTTCTCCAGACTTTTCAAAAAATCGGTCAATATTTATTTATTTATTTATTTTTTTTTTTACAAATTTTCTGTCCAGCTCTTATACCTGACCATGCTGTAACTTAACCTTACATTCCAAAGCAAAGGTTCCCCATAACCTCTCAACGGATCATTACACAACCTCTGCAAATTCTTTGGAAAAAATGGTCACCCTTCGATAGCATCTCCCTTACTATTGTATCAGAAAATTTCCTTTAACATCCACAGTTATTAGAGCATGTGGGGGTTCTGTTCTGCCAACTCCTGCACCCACAGTCAGATTCTAATCAGTTACACATGTGGATCATCGACTTGATGAGCATGAGGAGCATAAAAGGCACCAGAATACATTCAGCCAGCGCTGGAGCATTACCTGCCAACGGTAGTCTTGTTCTAGCCTTCTACTCATGTTTGAAGCTTAACATTTATTATTTGTATTTTTCTCTGTGCCTCCAGTGAGTTGCCTTTGATCCTCTTGTTTCCTGAATCCTCCGTGGACCTCGAGCTCCTGTGCCTCATCAGCTGCCTTCTTTCCACTCTCCTGAACATCTGCACCTCCTTCACCTGGAATCATATGGGTCAGCCCTCCCCACCTCTGACCCCTGACCTCCATTATGAGGAGATCTGCAACAACATTACCACCCTTGACTACAAGAACTCTAACCACCTCTTTGCTCCTCGAGTTTCCAGGCCCCTCCCTGGCTTATTGCTTATATCTCCCCTCGTAAATATACACTGTAAACTTATTCTGAGGTTTGGTCTCTGTTCTCAGCGGTTCTTATATCTGGGTATAGTCGCAATCCTCACAGAGCAGCACACGAATAAGCAATATCCAGCCCTTAACCTTTTGCAAATGTGAAGCCAAGTTAAAAGCATCACTGTGACAAAAAATATGCATGGCATAATGAGGCTGAACTGATATGAAACCTGCTTTCTAAAACTCAGGACGAAACGTCTCACCTGCAGGAACTGTGCAACCATCCATCCATCCATCCATTATCTTTACCCGTTTATTCCATTTTGGGTCACGGGGGTCGCTGGTGCCCATGTCCAGCAATCACTGTGCGAGGGGCGGGGTACACCCTGGACGGGTCGCAAGTCCATCACAGGGCCACATAGAGACAAACGAGACAAACAACCATTCACTCTCTCACTCACACCTAGGGACAATTTAGAGTTACCAATCAGCCTAACATGCATGTTTTTGGTCTGTGGGAGGAAACCGGAGCACCCGGAGAAAACCCACGCATGCACGGAGAGAACATGCAAACTCCACCCAGAAGGCACCTGGACCGGGGTTTGAACCAAGGACCTGTTCGCTGAGAGGCAGCAGCTCTACCAGTTGCGCCACCGTGCTGCCACTGTGCAACCATGCGTTACAAAAAAAACTTGACACTTTATCTTTTTGCAGCCTCTTAAACAACCTGATTGTCCATTTGTGTCAGGACTTACAAAGCAGGTCGACTCCAAAGTGGTGTTGAGTGATGTGTTCAAACAGAGCAGTCAGAATGGGGAGCAAAGCCACAGTGGTGTAGTTAATATTCTGCGACACCCCTTTCATCTGCGACCGGGAGTGAGTGAACTTCCCCAGCTTCAGGTTCTCGAAAGTCTTCTCCAAGTCCTCCGCAGCGTTCTCGAAAAACATTCTCAGGCCAACCCTCACCTGCTCCGAGCCTGACTTCATCACTGTCCTGTTTGGAGGAACAACATCAAAAAACTGAAAAACAAATTATACAAGTGTGCAAAGACAGGGCTAAAAAAGGTCATATCACCAATTATGCAATGGAATAACAAGTCCAAAATATAAATTTAACTTAATTACTATCATTTCAATCCAGTCCATAACATTAGTAGAAAAATGATTATTGTTAAACTTTGATGTGTCATAGAATGAAAGAGAAATCAAAAACAGTCCCTGGGCATCAAATGCTGTTCAACGTGAAGCCTCCTAATGCATTGCTGATTTAGCCTCATTAAGTTTGAGTTGCATTAATAAACAGAAGTCTGTCTCTAAAGAGCAGCACAAGCCTCAGGCAACACGTGCTGCATGAAATGTGAGCTGCCTCCTTAAAGGCCAGACGATGCTCTTTGTTAATGCCAGCGCTTCCCATAAGAATTATGATTGTTTGAAAGAACAAATATGTTCCTATTTAGGATCCAGATTACTTTTTTTTTTTTTTTTTTAAGACATAGCACTTCAGGTTTTTAATTTTACTGCCAAGTTCCTTTGTGTGCTCTGAGCTCTGGCTAATTTGCACCCACCTGGTGTCGAGCGTGTGAGCCAGGATGTGCAGACAGCTGACCATGGTGGTGGAGTCGCTCCCTGCATGGCACCGAAAACACAAAAATTATCAGCATGAACACACAAGCCAGCTTCTAGGACATGCTTAATGACAGAACTGAGTTTGAAGCAATGAATCAACCACTAATATTCAGGTCACAAAAGCATCATTATCATCAGTAAGGTTGGTGTTATTATTTGAACACGTTAAAATGGAAATAAGCGATTATAGTTCCAGAGGACTAATGGGAGACTGAAGTGGCTGTTTGAACTAAACTGTTTATTTTACCACTGAATATGTACACTTTGTAACTCCAACTACCTCTCTGTGCGCAACACTGAAATTAAACTAAAGTTTAGATCTGCCACTTTTCTGTGTTTGAGTCTTTGGAACCATTTATCAGCAATACAATAAAATGTTCAAACTTTAGAGCTTTGCAGATTTCTAATAAACGATAAACCTGTTCAGAGTTCATTTAAAAGAGCTTTACACACAAGACAAGTGCATGCAAACATATCTTTGACTAGCTGGTAGTCAACAGCTCACCAAAGAGTGAAATCCTGTGTCTGACAAGAGCTGCCAGTTTACAAAACAAGCTGGAGACGTGAAGAATAGAAACAGAGAGGAAATTAGACAATCTAAGTGAGTTATTGATCGAAGAGAAGAGAAATGATAACTTGTAGATTTTGTAGCAGAAATCTGTAATAAGTGACACTCTGGCCATGCCGTGTTTCTGTCGTGTCAGAAATGTGTGACTTGCTACCTGGTGACCATTTCTTTCTCCTTGTTGGAGGCGTAACCACTGCTGCTGAGGTTCTTGTTGGGGGAGGACAGGAAGTACAAAGAGTGGTTCTTGAAATATTGATCAATGAGAGGGAGGAGAACCTGACAGAAAGAAACAATGACATTTAGATTGCATTAGATCAACAGAAAGAGGAAAAGTCAACTATTATTGTACGTTATGTTGGTGTATTATTTTCCTACTTTGGCGAAAAACTTGATTTCCTGTTCATGGGGCGACCTGTCTGTTTTTCCACTGGAAGCCATGGCCTCTGGATTGAAGAAAGATGCTTTTTTAAAGCAAAAAATAAAAACATAGTGCAAGTTCCTTTTTAATCCAGTGTTAACAATAACATACCTAAGTGGGAAATGAATTCCTGGGCTGAGTCGACGTACTTAAGGAGCTTTTTGAGGAACCTATAAGCAAACCTTTTCTCCATGGAGGAGGAATCCTGCTCCAAGTCCTTTAAACCTCTGCAACATAACACTTTATCTGTAAATTATCATTCTTATATCATTATAGTCTCACTTAATTTGAAAAGCACTCCATCAATCACTGATGGTTATATATGGTGTTGTAGAACCTTGACATAACACCAGTGACATGCTCGCTGTGTACTGACCTTGTGATGCTGTAGCCGTTAATTTGCAGGAAGCGGAAAAGGTCCTGAGCCTTCTCTCGATCATGGGCCTTCTCCTTGGCTGTCAGCGTGTCATAGGGCACCAAAAGAGGATGTGTTCCTCCACCTGAAACCACAAATGACCCTGTGCTCAGACGTGATTTACTCTGTCTCTCCTCTGAATGTGTGTGAGGGCAGATGGAGTGGAATCGCCTCAGATAAACCCTTTTAGTAAAAAAGACAACTGCAAGGTACTGAGGCGCACAATTACGTTCAAACCAAACTAAAACCATACAGCACCTTTATTCCTCCCACACATATTTACATAAACAGTCTTTCCCTGTCTATTTGGCTGGTGTACTATGAATTCTGGAAGAATTTAATTTGGGATTCACCTCGGCTTCCAAGGTCACTTTTTTTCTTCTTGGCCCAGATGTTATGGTAATTCTCAGCCATTACCTCCACCATCCCCTTGGACCAAAAACAAAAAGAGACAAACTCATCGAGGTGCACATCCTGCCCACAGTGCTCATTCACATTCAGGACATATTGGCTTTGATCTCACATGCATCTGAGAGCTCTTTTGATAAATAAAAAAAAAGGAGAAGAAAATGAAACGTGGTGCTACCTGTAATTCTCTGGATAAAACCACGTTGCTTGTGTCTATTGGGCTTGGATTGAAGCCATTGGCCTGGAATTGAAAGCACATCATGTAGTTAGCTACAAGTAAACATGTAGATAACACAAAAATGTCCACATTAATAATGTTTGTCAAAGGATTACTCTGCTTGAAAATGTTCTGTTTTTTGTAGATTAGCATTAAAATGACTGGCTGACCTGCAGAACTGGTAACAGGTGGGATTGCACTGAAAGTTGTAAACCTCTGTTTTAATGCACACATTTTGAGTCATTGGTGGCACACTATCAGCTGTTTTTAATGTTATCAGCCCATTAAATGGCCATTATTAGTTGTTATCATCCCCATAGGTTGTCTTCAGACTGTCCCTCTTGTACCTCCTAGGTTTAAAGGTACTTTGTTTTTGCTGATAATATGCAGCTTCAGACGCGTCTAAAACCGGAAGCTTTCTTTTGTTAGCTTTATTTAAACCCTTTATTTACAATTTACCTACTACTTTTAAGCTGGATATCAAGGATTTACGTCAAATGAATTCCATATTTAACAGTCATAAGGCGGTATCTAAAAATAACTCAAGGATCAGACTAAGCTTTATTATCATTGCACCGAGATACAACGAGAACATGTACATGCAGTCGTCCGGAAGATGGATTTAGTGCACGAAGCTGCTACTATAACTAAGCGTGGCCTTTCTTATCCTTTTTCAGAATAATAATCTTGGATAGGAAAAGGGGGAGAAACATGAAGGTAGATAGTGATATTACAAAAAAAGATCTTTCACATCTTGTCTATCAGGACATGATTTGAGACATCAAAAAAACTCTACCAGCAAGCACAATTAAAACATGATTACATATGCATTTGACATCAAGGTGTTGAGATTTGTCCATGAGCGTTTTTCAGATCAGCCGCCACAGTTCTGATGATGTTTTTTCAGCCGGCAGTTCTGATAAGCTTGCACAGAAAGTTCTCAGGGGTGTGATAGATGAAGCTTTTGTCCTTGGTTACCCGTGACCCAGGAGAAATTTGATAGTAAGCTTTGATTGTCGTTTTTCTTCAGGCAGACAGATTTTTTTTCTTCAGCCTTTAGTCCATCTGGATGTTCTGGTTCCAAAATGGCCTAATTGTGGGAATCTATTCCACTGATCCATGCCATGAGTCTCCTTTGAGGTCAATTCCACCGCGCTGACGAGTCCCAGAAGCCTCAGATAGCCTGCTATTCTCATAAATTGCCCCCATCTTACAGTTTAGCTCGCAAATCAGCTGATTTTGAGTACTCACAGCACGAACCAAACCTTCACACTGACTTGGAAGCTTTGTCATGGCCAAAATTGCTGCAGATGTCTTTGTCAATAGTCGATAAAACAGAGCCCCGCCGATGCCAAAAAGCAGAGTCCCTGCTATCATAAATTCAAATATGTAAATGTCTTCAGCGTCCTCCTGAGACAAGACTGAGAGGCACATCAACTGCCACACTCCCCACGGGTCCATGACGTACCCCACAGCGTGCGTCTCAGCTGGACATGCAGGTTCTCCAGGACCTTGTCATTTTGTTGAAAAAATCTTGTCGAAGAAGTTGAATGCCCAGGATATCAGATCCATAATCTTAATTTACCTTCGGGAGATGTGCACCAGGCGCTTCAAACACACAGAGAGCGAAGCAGGAGGAAGGAAAAACAGGGGAGGGAAGACAGAAGCAGCCACCTCGAGCGAGAGCCAGAGAGAGAAAAAAAAAAGAGAGAGGATATGACCTAACCCTAATCCTAACCATATAATTCTGTGATAACAACCTACTGAGCCCACTAGGAGGTACAGGAGGGACAGTCTGAAGGCAACTTACAGAGATGATAACAACTAATAGCAGACAATTATTGGGCTGATAACATTATAAGTGGGTGACACTTTTACCGATGTAATCCCTTGGTACTTTTATTTAGTAATTTTTCCAACTTAATTGACCGCAACAGCTTTAATTTTTTTTATTCTACCTGAGAAGCTTGAGATATTTTTCTCATTTTCTCATTCTCCCTCTGTTGAGACATGCTCTCTCCGTCCTTGGTTCTGTCGACGCTCCAGCCTATCACCAGCATGCTCTTCAGTGAGTCCCTAATTGGCAATCTGTAAATCTCCTTCTCCTGAAGCACAGTGACAGAAATTGAGAACAGAGTACAAACCGTGAGCCATTTATCTTTAGGTTATCTCTCCAGGGTGCCATACTGTATTTTACCTTCTCTGTCAGGGCTTTGTAGATCCTGAGCTGAGGATGAGTCTTCGCCTTCTCATCCACACAGTCTCCATATTTCCATCCCAGCAGCACCTGAGACACAAACTGAAGGGAGGTAAACAAGCACTGATCCATTCAGAATCCTCTGCTGATTGCATTTATCATTTGAAAAACTGATTTCAAGGTTAAGTAAACAACAAAAATTGATGAGCTACAATGCATTTAGTCCATGCTGTTCTACGCTTTTAGTTTGTGACATATGGGACATTCCAGCCTAAGCAGAAAGATGAGAACAGCCTTTTACAGAAGCTTTTAATACTGTCTGTATGCCAATAAAACCTGCTTTTCTTATAAAAGGGACATCACTGATGGGAATTAATGCTTTAAAAATCAGAATTATGTCTTTTTTTTTAGCTAAAATGCTTTTCAATTGTTGTTCAAATCAGTATTTTAAGTGTTTTAGAATCCCTGTTTTATTCTTTCAACACTTCTCTTGCTCTAGTTGTACAAGTACACGTTGCACAAGTTAATTGCCTCCCATCCTCCATAAATGGAGATCTTTGACCTTACCTTTTCTGAAGACCATTTCTCATGGCAATGCTCACTGTATTTGTTGGCAAAATGTTCAAGCTTTTCTGGCAGAACAATGCTAGAAAAAAGTGACACATCTTAATTAGGTTTGAGTTGTACACAATAAGTAGAATCTCTTATTTGAGCAGGCTGATGCTACATTAATAGGTGATTTCAAGCTATAAAATGCCCTTACTTAGCTATATTGATGGGTTTAGGGTCAAAGTTTCCCTGAGCATCAACAGAAACAAGCTTTTCTACAGTCGCATTGATGGAGGCATCCACGTAGTCTGGTGGCAAAGCTCCAGCTATGGCACTGAGACAAGGCATAGCCATCTTGAACAACTCTGGCTCATACTTCTGCATGGGGAAGGAAAGAAAGAAAGCTGGATTTAGATTTGAATGTATTTTCTCAAATTACCATATAAAGTAAGAAAATAATTCCCCATATTAAATTGAGTCGTGTTTTGTTGCTAATTTACGGCAGAGCTAGATAAAGCTGTACTCTGAAGCCAGTTTAAGGGCTGGAGGAAGAGGCATTAATGAAGAATTATTCGAAAGGCTGAGAAATCAGGATGCTAGAGGGTTCGGATCAATGACGGCTGTCCAGATATTGATGCTTTCAGCTCGAGTCTTTGCACAGTCTGCCTTCATGAGTGGGCATTTAGTGAGATGTGCTGAGTCCTGCTAGCTAACAAGGTGTTTGTCCAAAAGAACCTCTTGCATACACACACATTTTTTTTTATCAATCTCTATCAATTCTGCAGATCTGCTTTGTTTTCGCAGTCAGCTGTCATTAACAGGAAGTAAATATCAGGCATGTCAAAGAGACGAAGTCATGACATAATGAAGCAGCAGCACCTCACCCTTTGAGATAGAGAGTCAAAAACTCCCCAGAAGATCCTTTTGGTGAGCAGCAGTTCATCTTCAGATGCTGTGCCAAAGCTGCCCCAGCCTGACGGGAGGCAGTAGTACTTCCAGTTCTGCTCGTAGTGGTTGGTTAATAACTAGATAAGACAACATTCACAGTTTAATAAACAAGAATAAAAAGGCAAATGTGCATTTTCTAGTTGCACACACTATGCATGCTGTGGATAGTGTTAACTTCATAGCACATTGAAACACAAACATGGACATGAAAGTGACAAACAACTATGTCTATGTCTACAATTTCACAGGCCAGTCACAATCCATTAAATCCCCAGTAAATCTTTCTCATGACCTGATAGATGGAGTGGAGCACTGAAGTCAACAGGCCTGAAATCACACAATCCACTTATTTCATCCTTTCCCCCCAACTTCCTCTGCACGCCACATTTTTACCACTTTAGGTTTGTTGCCACCATGCACCTATAAGTGTAAAAGAGATGGGCTACCATCTGTGATATTACTGTAAAGGTCAACTGAGGTGGTAAAAATAGGCAGTTGGTAAAAACAACCACACAATCTAATAAAATAAGAGAACAGTGTGTTCATGAAGAAACCACACACACATTAAAAAAAAAAAAGTTAGAGAATGTCAAACAGAAAATAGTAAAAAAGAAAATAAAATGTCAAAATTCAGACAGCGAACTTTGGCAGCCAGACAGGAAAACACAAGATTTAAAGGCCAAAACAATCAAAGATGACAAAGTGAATACAAAACAGGTTAATAAAAGGAAGAAACTGTTGCTAACCCTCAGAGGCATCTTGCAGTATTCAGTCAGCAAGGGCACATCAAAGACGAGTCGACGCAGAAGCTGCTGAAGCATGGAAGGACGAAGGTGCCTGCAGATTAGGGTTGGAAAGAAATAAAAGTGCCGCCGCTCTGAGCTTATTCAAATTAAGTTTGTCACACTGATTCAAATGATCTTTAGAAACTCCTGGGTGTGAGTTTTAGGATTCACTGATAATTATTGTTGGTATTTTTATCATTTCTGCCAAGTTTTATCAATAGATCATTAGAGCTTCCTTTTCTCACTTGCAAATAGACAGCAAACACTCCTCTATGGCGTCTCTCTGCGCCTTGGTCAGCGAACGGCCTTTGGAGAGCCGGTAGATGGTGTGCAGGGTGGAGTCGATGAGGGTGGCGAAGTGCTCAGTGCCGGCAAAGAGAGGAGCGCAGCGGGTCAAGAGGGGCAACATGGTTGAACCGATGTATCGATTCATGGCCAGGGCTGTCTCAGTGGTGCACAGACCCTCCTGCAGAGAAAATATGTCACAGATCATGCAACATCTGACAGCCATGGTCATATTTACATACATTTAAAATACAACCACTAACAGATAAAGTTAAATATTTACTTGCTGCAATGCTTTCTCTTCTTTCACTGGTCTTTGCATTGATTCAGTTAGCTAAAACACTGCTACCCCCACAACTCATTATGGAATAACATTTTAATGTGCTACATTACAAAAACTGCTTCAGGAACTTGATAAAGTATCAAGACAATCGTCAGAAATTTCCACATCACAACCCACAGAACCAACATTAAATGTTAAAGTTATAAAAACAAAACAAGACGCTCCCATAAATCCCAAATCCACGATAGGACTTATTCTGAAACTCTACGAAGATGTTACTGCAGCTTGTTATTTCTTGCTCTTCTCCCACGCTGTTGTCTAATTACCGTATCCATAGAAGTAGCCGCCCTCAGGTCAGGGAGGAAGCCCACTTCCATCAGATGAAGCAGAAAACTTTGGTCTTCGATGCCATACACTCTGTCTAAAAACAGCACCATGGGGGCCTTGTGGTCTGGGCAGAAGCTGGCTGACATGTCTGGCTCGGTCACTGATCCATCTGAGAGAAATCAAACCAGAGACAGTTTAAACTGCATGAGCCATTCAGGTGTGAAGCGGTGAAACACCCAGAGAGAAGGGTTCGGCACATTATGGCTAGTCTTTTTTGATTGGGAGAACTGTGTGTGTTCATTACGCTGCATGCAGCAGTTCTTTTAAGGTGGACTCTCGACTTGCTGTTGGCCTGCTGGCAAAGCCTGTGTGGCGACACTCACACCAGGAAATTATAGAGCCAACTTTTCCTTGTTTACATTTAGATACGTAGATCCATCAGTACAGCAGGACAGTACTCTACTGGAATCACCAGGCTTACTCAGAGCCATGAGAGCGAATAGTAAAACAATATGCTGATTTACAATGACCCGAGCAAAGAAATTAAATCAATATCTCTGTGCTTTGCATAATATGTGAACAGCTTTGTTACAGCTTTACTTGTAGGTGAACAAGACTTCCTGACATGACATCTAAATAATGTTCTGCCGTAATTATAAAAGAAGAAACATCCTGACCTTTGTTGACGACGGGCATTTTGAGGGGGATGCTGATAATTCCCACAAGGTCCTCAGTGGGCACCAGAGAGCGCAAGATGGCACGAATACGCAGAGCTTCCCCTTTTCCCTTGTTGATGAGCTGAAGAAAGAAAAATGAAGTGAATTACCGAAACAAAATTGCAAACGGGTTAAGAAGAAAACAGCTCAATGTGCATACATGCATCTCAGGAGCGCAGCGCCCCAACAGGTCAATGAGAGCAGAGTAGAAGGACATGATGGCGTTGCCCATGTGGACCACCTCCTCCTCATCATCACCATCAGCAGACCTTCTAGAAAACAGGAAGGAGATTAATCTGTTTTTAAAAGGCACCATGGTAAAGGTGCAACTTTAAGGAAGTGAGCATCGTATCTTTAGATTGTGTCTTTAGGATTGATTTTATATGCGCTGCCCAATTTCTATGGCTCACAGGTCAGAGCTGACTCGATGCACGGAGCCAGGCAGGTCCAAAGCGGGTGTTTCAGAAATCTTAATAGCTTCCTTCATAGCAGCCAGCAGACCGTTTCCTCCCTCTCCTCTAAGAGCAGGTCCAAAACATTCTGGGCGACGGATGAGCAGTTTCACCACAACGCTCGAGTTCTCCTCCACACTCTCACCTTGAACACCAAAACAGAAGCGCATTAGTGCTTTATACTCAAGTATTTGAAGGTTTTAAAGCAGTTTTTAAAGCAAGGATTTTTAGCAGGCACACACAGAAAAAGTCGTACCATTGACAAACACAGCAAAACGCAAGAAAGACAGATATCGCTCTCCTTCTATGGGGTTCCAGCCGATGTCTGGGTAACCTTTAGCAAGAAGCATCAGACAACTCTGGAGACCACATCCAGCCAGGTACGTGACCACCTACAGAGAAATTATAAATACAAATCCAACTTCATCTATCTATATGTCACAGTAGCACCTGCAGCCACACTCTGAACAAAGATTATGGAAGTAACTTTTGCATTCTTTATGTATTATTCATCAGACTTATCTTTAAAATACAAGTGCACAAACTATTAAACTAACTGGACATTTAGATATTTATTAAACACCACATTATTACATTTTTTTAACTACATTTGTCACTGTAGTTGACTATTTGGAATGCACACATTTGTCAAATCTTCCTGTAGTGTCATGTTTTTGCCTCTTGCTGTCACTTGCCAAGCCCACGTCCCCGCAACTCATCAGCGCTTATGCACCACACCCATTCCTAGCCATATTTTAAAAACCCTCTCACCTCTGCCACATTATCAAACCCTTTTTGGAAATAGATGTCCAGCACTTCATCCACAGTCTTCTTTGATTCTCGTCTCAACTTCACGCCTGCCTTTTGGAAGCCCCGCTCTGCCTGCTTCCTGTCTGCTCTTGTTTTGCCATTCTGATCTTATTGCTGACTACTCCTTCTGACCTACCGACCTCGAATTATGGATTACCCTTTGGATTTGTCTCTGGACCTCTGACTCCCTGTGCCTGACCCCTACTTCAACTCTTGAACCTCAATTTTAGATTGCCCCCTGACCATATTAACCACAGCTCTCCCCTGCAGCTGCTCTTCATCCAGTGATGGTGACGTTATCTTACCCAGCTCCGACAGATGACTCCCACCTCATGTGCTTGAGAAGGTTAGTGGCTGTTTTTCTGTTCACCATCTCGTTCTCAGAAATACTCAGTCCACTAACTTTCATATCTCTGCAGATTGGCCCCAGCACTGGATCCTGACCCCCAGCAGCAGCTGCATTACAATTAACCTTTTAACCCTTCTTGTTATCTGGCTATTTATCCAAAACCTGAATCTTGTCATGCAGTTTCATTTGAAATTTGCAGTGCCTTGACTATTATTTGCTTTAAGTGACCAGTTTCTTTGGGAACCCTGATGAAGCTGCATCATCAGTCTCTGAAAATATATATGTTACATGAGATCTGCTTCAATAGGGAATACTGCCCAATTTGGTTGTACTGTTTCATGACAGTAATTTTTGCAATTAGTTTAATTGTTTTGTGCACCCACCCTTGTGCTTTTGTCAGTCACTGCTTGTTTCCTGACTGATTTCAAGTTTGTAATGAAACTAATCATCTCAAAAGTTTTTTTTATGTTTGTACTGAAACCTCAATCTTAATTTCTTTTTTAAAGCAAGTACACAGCTTTCACAGTAGCTGACACAAGGTGTAAAGTCTCACCTTGTCCAGATCAGGTTCTTCAAGTGCCAGGGCCAAACCATTGTTGTCCATCACTGAGGAAGCAGCGACATCAAGAGGAGTGGATCCCCTCATAGATGGTGAGGCTTTAACACAAAGCACACATGAGGTCGGCTACAAACTGCTGACACAGTAATACCTTCATTTATTTTTATTTATTTCATTTCAGTCATTTGAAAAATGTTTTTATATGCAATAATTCAAAACACAAGCTACATCAAACCAGGAATGAAAGGGAGCAGAAGGAAGAAAAAATCTTATCACATATACCTCTCATCAATCCTTCAGACCTAATGCATGTAGCGTTTGCCAGTGGACATGTTTCAACAGAAACTCAACAAACAGCAGGGGGTGGTATTTTTATTTTTAAAAACATAGCCTGCAGCTAATCTGTGAAGAACTGCAAGTTTGCTTTGGATGTTTTGAACACAAAATAGAAGATTGTGCATAATCTTACAGTATGCGTAAACACGTTTATTTTATTTATTTATTTGTAATACTGTGGTTATAACTTGTTGGAATGAACAGATTTTTTAAATGTTTTGATTTGTGTCTTAATGTGCGCCTCTAACAACTGTCATTAGGCTAGCTGACATTGTGTCAGGCTGTACCCACCGAGGCCCACGCTGCTGTTCTCCAGCAGGTAGCTGAGGTGATCAAACATCGCCTTTTGGTTCTGTCGGCTGATCCGACAAAAGTAACATAGGAAGCGACAACAGCTGGCCACCATTTTAGGGAAGGCAATTTCCTGTGAGTCAACACATACAGATAAGATAATAACATCTCTAGATTTTTAATACAGGAGCAGACATCATGTTTCAGTTTTGATGTACTTTTAAGGCAGCAACATAATGGATTTATTAGAGATGAAGTCAAATATACTTTCCTCACATCTCATAAAAAGTAAAACTGTCACTCAAATAAAATATCAATTTAAATGCAGTCAGTTTTGAGAGGTTGCTGCTTTACTCTGCAAATTTGAACCCTCTTACTTCAAGATGTTTTATAAAAAGACCAGACATTTTCATCCACTGTCAGTCACTCTCTGTTCTGCGTACTTTCAAAGTCATTAATCCACAGCCTGCAGCCATTCTTCACACATAAAGAATAACGTGCAACATTATCACTAGTGAGAAAGTGTAACAGCAAAGATAAATGTAACAGTAGATGTTTGCAAACCTGAGATTTGTCTCCTCCGAGTACATTGACCATGACCTGCATTACAGTCTCATGCATGCCCAGTATTCTCATCAGGTTCGGGTGCTGGTAAAATACCTTGTTGTTCATGATATCACTGGAAAAATTAATGAAAAATACAAAACAAATGCACTAAAACAAAATATTTTCTTTGATATGATCATTTATTTCTTATCATAAACCAAGCATGTTCTAATTTAATAAGGCTTCTTGAAAAAAAATTGTCTACCTGAGTCCGTCAATCATGAGCTTCTCCTCCTCCTTTCCCATTCTAACGGACAGCAGAGATCTGATCTGACCGAGGGAGGCCAAGAGGTTGATGGTGTCCTGGACCGAGGCAGCACTGATAGTGTAGGTCTTCCTCATGGCTCGGAGCAGCTCCCCGATGCTGTCATACTGCCTCCTCAGCAGACTGAACATCTTGCGAACAAGTTTCGGGTCCTGTACGTGGCACTCTTGGGACCAGCTCACCATGGTCTGAGAGATGAGCTCCTTCAAGTTGGCTAAAGAGGATTTATAACAATTAAAATACTTCAACATAAAAACTTTACATACACAGGAAAAACATATATACATAAATACAAAGTAAATTACCTAAAAGTTTTTATCGCTACTGGAATTCATGCCATTCACAACATCATAGACAATATATTTAACAGCAGTTTATCCCAAACTGTATCTTCTGTCATATAATCAAATCTTAATTATGTGTTATAATTAAAATGAGCTAATTTAATCAAATAAAAGCATTAGGACTCTGTTGTATCTGTGTCACTCTGAAGCAAAGAAAAAACACGTAACAGGTCCAATACATCATCTAACTAATCTATTGGGCAGGCAGTACGAGCAAAGGGAGTGGCTCAAAGCCTTAAAAATTTGACTAATAGAATAAAAACACTGACTTGAAAGATGCTAAAATAAAAGGGTAACAAGTAAATTCACTTTGAGACTGAAAATTATGTTAGTATTATGGCTACGCTAAGAAAAAAATTACATTATGAGAAAAAAGTCTTAATATTATGAGTATAAATTTGTAATATTATGAGAATAAGGTCGAAACATTATGAGAATAAAGTCATAGCATTACGAGAATAAATTCATAATATTACAAGAATAAAGTCAAAATATTACGAGAATAAAGTAATAGTATTACGAGAATAAATTTGCAATATTATGAGAATAAAGTCATCGTATAAAGTCTTAATATTACGAGAATAGTCTAAATATTACCAGAATAAACTCAGAATATTACGAGAATAAAGTTGTAGTATTATGAGAATAAAGTCATATGAGAATAAAGCCATAGTATTACAAGAATAAATTATTAATATTACAAGAATAAAGACAAAATATTACGAGAATAAAGTCATAGTATTATGAGACAAAAGTTTTAATATTACAAGAATAAAGTGTAAATATTACGAGATTAAAGTCATAGTATTACGAGAATAAAGTCAAAATATTAAGAGAATAAAGTCATAGTATTTTGAGTATAAAGTCTTAATATTAAGAGAATAAAGTTTAAATATTACGAGAATAAACTTATAATATTACGAGAATAAAGTCATACAAGAATAAAGTCGTAGTATTACAAGAATAAAGTTGTACAAGAATAAAGTAATCGTATTACGAGAATAAATTTGTATGAGAATAAAATTTAAATATTACATGAATAAAGTTATAGTATTACAAGAATAAAGTCTTAATATTATGAGAATAAAGTCAAAATAATACGAGAATAAAGTCATAGTTTTACAAGAATAAAGTCTTAATATTACGAGAATAAAGTTGAAATAATATGAGAATAAAGTCATAATATTATCAGAACTCCGACACGAATAAGCAATCTTACAACTGCGGATTAATACTAAAGACTGGTGTCTTATTACATAAGAAGGTTTATTCTTAAAGGATTTTAGTCCTTCTCACTAAAAAGCCAATTTTCTAACAAAAACAAAACCCTCCAATATAAAGAATCCAGAATAATTTTGTCCATGTGGTTAGCAGACATTTGTTTGGACACTTCATTCTGTATGTGGGTTACCCTTAACGCTTCATTAAAACTGATCAATACTGTGTGTGACAGAGTGTAGGCTGGCATTTACAGTATGAATATCGCAACGGGTAAAAACATAACCTGGGCTCTTCAGAACCATAAACGACCAATTTTTATCATAGATTTGATTTACTGCAATTAGCTGATGTCATTGAAAGGGCAACAGAGAATTTATTATTTATTTATATTATTTATAGGGGTTGGCGATCGATAAATGTCTTTATGGGTTTTAATGGGCTTGAGGAGCCTGCTAACAGGCGTAAGCGATCCAGCCTCTGGGAGGTGTGATGGTGTCACAAAAGGGGCAGAAGCTCCTGTTTGATACAAAACGATAAGCCGCATTTCATCTCAGCCAACTGGCTTCACAGCACCTCAACCACACGTCACACCATAAACACACGAGACTTTCCATCCGTCTGTTTTGGAGCTGAATCCAGTTCTCTAACATTTACCCCTCGATGAAAACCAACATCTTTTAAGAGCGCAGACACACATCTCCCACGCTCTCTGCCTCACACAGATTTCTTCAAGGCAACACGTCATGTCTAACCATTAAATGCTGTAGCTGGATGAGCCATTTATCAGAGGAGGAAATAGTCCTCTGTGCTCCTTTTACTTCATTTCTACAAAAATAATGGCCACGACATGGGCGCCTGTATCTTCAGGGTCTTTTAAAGGGGAGTTATGGCTCTAGTCACAGCTCATAACATGATATATATCTTGTTCGCTCACCACCCTTCTATTAAACCCTATTCTAAAAAATACACCAACAAGCATAATCAATACAGTTGCACAGACACCAAGAAAGCATGTCCAGTTTTAGAACATTCCTCAAACAGCATGGCCTAAGATATCCTGTACTGGTAAAACCTTTCTCACTTATGTCTTATGACACATTATAAATTCACGTTGCATTTTTCAACATTTTATGTTTGTAAAAAACCTTTTCCTTCTTATCTTGCTGTGTTTCTGAAATTTTGGAGTTGCTGTTTTTCAAAAAAGGGTTCACAGACCAAGACAAATAGATGTGTAGAACTAAAATCAGCACATTAACATAGACTTTGTGTATAGAGTAATGACCAATAGGTCAAAGGTTATGGCAGAGTTGTATTAAATGTATCAGTTTCACTTGTGTTTTATAACTGAATTATTATGAATTTGGAGGTAAACTACTTTTAATTTTACTTTTTTATATTTATTTATCTGATTTACAACCTTTTTATTCTGCTCCAACAGCCCATGTGTGCCATCCATTCAGCCTGTTTCATTACCCACAATGCAACATGCTATACTGGGGTCATGCAATCTATGAAAAGAAGTAAAGCATGATATCAACCACCATGAGGCAACACATAAAAAAGAACCTACTGGTCAAAAATGCTTGATTTCTTACTTTATTTGTACTGCACCATCTGCTGCCTTTCATCCAGTTTAATCTAAAATAATCTCATGAATTTTGATCTTTTAAATTTTAGAATAACATTTTATGTACAATTTTACATGGTCTTCAGTACTTGGAGTATGTGTGTATAAGTATGTGTTTCATTAAACCCTGTTCAGTGGTTCATGAGATATTTTACTAACAGAGAAACAGGGTTGACCACAACACACACTCAGTAAAAACTACAACGTCTGTAAAACTGACCGTTACTTCCATTTCTGTGTTTGATAAGATCTATCAGCTGTGGCGGCCATCTTGAAATGGGATGTCTCCATAAATTAATCAGTTGTAGCTGCTAAACCAAAGATTACTCTCTGCATCTAAGTCGTTTTAATCCAGCCACTGGTTCATGAGATACTTTGCTAACCTCACAGACACATGATCGCTCACACAGGCAAAAACAAAATTGTCTGTCTTGGGCAATAATTAAAACAGTTCTAGCTTTAAAAAGGACCAAAATAAAATCTGCTTTCAGTCGATCTTTCAAAGTTTTAAGCCCCAGCTTTGTTTTCTGATTCAAAGGAAAACGTGATGCTCCTGACCTCTGAGGTTCTGAAACTCTGAACCAATCGATCAAAGTTCATGCTCAATAATCCAGGTAAAAAAATCCAACAGGCCATCTGGACGGTTTCTTTTTTGTTGTTGGCCATCTTATCACCAGCAAACTGGTTAGTCCACTATGGGAGTGTGTTGCTTGTGGGACTGAGTTTGTTGTGGCTCCTCAAACTGATGAAGTCCTTTGGATGAAGGATGAAACGTCTCAACAAAAAAAGAAACCATCCAAATGACACGACTTAACTTTGTTGGATCTAAACCAGTAGCTTTCACGTTGCACCCAACAAAGTTCTCCACAGCCAGTTCATTTCATTTCAGTTCCATCACAAAGCATTCATTTCAGGACATATACTCTATTTTCATCCAGATGGCTCTCTCAGACGACTGCAACAGCTTTAAAATGGTTCTGCAAATGGTCACTCGAAAGTCCCTCATATGAGTGCTGGTTAAGTTGCTAAGTTAGTTGCTAGTTGTTTTTTTTAAAGGTGGTTACAGTTTATTTAGTGTGTGTCTCTATAGGTTTATAATGTTTTCATTTTTTATTTCCCTCCTCTCCGCTGACAGAGGATGCGCTTTAATCTGGTGCCTCTTTTCCTCCACCCTTTACATTACCATAATAAAATTGAAAAGAAAGTGAAATTGAAATTAATTCCATCTGCAAGACAGCCACTCACAGACAGATGCAGGAAAGTCTGAGGGAGATATAAAAGCAATGCCTACAATTTACTCTGCCCTCAAAAAGGAGGCGAACAAGGGCACGAACGAACAAAAAGTACAAAGACGTAAAAAGAAAGGAAATTAATTTACTGTTTGTGCTCTTAGGAGGCAACAAAAATGATTTTTTTAAATAAATGCTGAGGTCAAGCAATGAAAGAGTTTACTTCAGCGCCCTTCTAAAGACCACTGCAGTTTGGAGCAATTAGATGACAGAAAAAAAAATCTCATAAATTATTCTCATAAGTTAAAATGAGTCCAATGTTCAAATTGAAGGTCATAACTGGCTAAGTTTATATATATATATATATATATATATATATATATATATTACATCCTCATCAGACCAGTCACAAATACATTGTTTTATAATTGTTGTTGTTGACTCAGTCCAGACACTGCAACGTCTGAGATATTATAAACGTTACAAAATGAAGAAGAGCTTCCTCACATGGTGCAGCTTCCTTCTTCTCTTTGGGCTCTTGTGTTTTCTGAGACTGACTCTTGATCTTGTTCACCAGCATAAGGAGGCGACCTTTAATAGAAGTGTCCCGCTCATCATCGTCTTCCTCCATTGGGATTCCTGCACATCACAACCAGACAAACATATTCACAGAGTAACAAAACAATATCTCTGTACAGCTATAGGTTTAACTGAAGTCTTGTGCGGTGTATGTGCTGACAAGATATACAACATGACTCCACCTCCATGTGGCATGGCTGGGACTGCTGTTGTCTCGTAGTAGTAAGATGGAGCAGTTCAATTATTTATGAAAAACATCAAGTTGTCAGAACAATAAGTACTGGACCGAGACAAAGTACTGATACAGTTCTGCTGATGCTGCAAAAATACAAACAGCAGTCCACTAAGTTGTAGGGAAACTGATTCATTCAGATTCGTTTCCAAATTACACAAGAAATGTTCCCCAATACACTTGTAATAATATAATACATTACTATGACAAAAATTGGTTTGTAAGCTCAATCAACCAGGTAGATAATAACAAAAAAAGGTTAAATCATGTAATCTGGACCAGTTTCTTTAAATGAGAAATGTTTCATCCCCCATCCAGAGGACTTCATCAGTCTGCGGCCTGCCAACCAGATCTGTCCCATAGCCTTCCCTGCTGTGTTTCAAGCCAACCTCCTGTTGGAATCTCAGAAGTAGACTTTTAACACGTGCAAACAGAGCACGCCCCTCCAAAACAATCATCCTGTACAACAATCAAATGTTTTAGGCCAGATGGCCAACTCACAGAAACAGCCTGAGGACAACCAAGGCCAAAGTGGTTCAGAAAAAGGGCTGCAAGCTCAATCATCCATTTTTTGAATGGATCATTTAAAAAAAATGGTTAATCCATTTTCTCATCACATTTTTCTGAACCACTTTGGCCATGGTTGTCCTCTGGCTGTTTCTGTGAGTCGGCCATCTGGCCTAAAACATTTGATTGTTGTACAGGATGATTGTTTTGGATGGGGTGATAAAAACCCACTTTTTAAATTTCAACAGAAGGTTAGCTTGAAACACATCAGTGAAAGCTACCTATGGGACAGATCTGGTTGGCAGGACGTAGACTGACGAAGTCCTATGGATGGGGGATGAAACATTTCTCACTTAAAAAAACTGGTCCAGATGACACGATTTAACCTTTTTTGTTGCGACAAAAATAATTTGAAAACCAAAAAAGCCACCAATCTCTTCAATAATTTGAAACCTAAAGTTTTCTAGATTGCCTATGTCTTTGTCTTTTCACAGAGAACGTCTGTTGAAGGAGCAATGGCAGCCTCTCAAATTCTGTTAAAAAAGATGAGATGCTGGAAAAAAAAAAGCATTGATTTTTTTTTTATGCAATAAGCAAGAAGCTTGAATTTTTAACAGATCTGCATCTTACCACAGTGTAGCTGCAGCTTGTTGTGAAAATCATAAAGTTCCTCCTGTATGTCTCCAGGACAGGGACAGTCATCGCCCGTACTGAAAGTCAGCAGCATGTTGATCTGAAATTTAAAAAAAAAAAAAAAACATTAAATTAAACAGGTGTATCAGTTATAAAAACCTTTATATTAAAAAAATAGCTATGTAAAAAGCCCTATTTGTACAGAATGTTATATTTTGACTCATAACTGTACTTCTCTTTAGCTTTAAATGCCATGTGAAGATTATGTAACATTATGTAGGATTCACGCAAAGAAACAAAAATGCTTAAGTGGTTAAATCTGTCTTTGAACTCGCAGACAAAAAGGACAAACTCAGAAGGCATTAAAACATCTGTCAAGTGCCGAGCTTTGTCTCCAGCTGTTACATTAGAGCCACTGTACAGAACGTGTGCTGCTGCTGAGAGCACTCTCTCAGTGGGACGCAGGATGAATTTGCCTTAAAGCTTTTTTAGACATAAGGACATTTTCAGGAACATTTGCAACGAAGAAGAGCTTTCGCACTCTGGGCCAAAAAAGCCAGACTGAGAAACTATTCAAAAACCCAAGGGACTCATATTTAGAAGGGAAGTTAACTATGTGAGAAATCACAAATGTGACACAACTTCTCCCCTCATTTATCCAGTTAAATGCACATTTTAAAGTAGAGCAGACCAATCTGCCTCACGGATCACAACACAGACGTGAGCTTTTAGAAGCACATGTGCATATGTGAGAAACTGAACTGAACACATGATGCAGCTCAGTACCTTGAGCCCTTTTGATAGTTTCAGTATTTTAGATGTCACGTATGGGAAGTCACTAAATTAAATTCTGTGCGTGTCGCCAGAAGAAATCAATGCACCACAAAAAAAAGACAAATTGCAGATGTGAGCCCACATAAAGACAAATATCCTCATATATGTACCGTATTTTTCAGACTACTGTATAAGACGCACTTAAAATCCTTTCATTTTCTCAAAAATAAACAGTAAGCCTAATAATCCGGTGCGCCTTATACATTAATTCTGGTTGTGCTTATTGACCTCGAACCAGTTTTATGTGGTACAACTGAACAATGTTGAGAGTTGTTCTGAATGAGTTGAATAAAGTTTGACTCATCTGACTGTTTTGTTTCGCTTCATGCGCCTTATAATCCGAAAAATATGGTAGATGTGACCAAAAGCAGGAAAACAGCACTAAAGAGCCACATTGTGATTAAAATCTGCAGCTAATGTACAAAATATGGGGTTTACACTTATAATAGTAAACATAAAAAAATTGTTATATAAGCAAGGTTTTCATAAGAGTCCGTCTGAAGCCGTGTTCTGTACAGATGTGCAGCTAAATCAACCATTTAAAAAGAAACGTTGAGTAAAAAAATGAATGGCGCTGCACACCCACAGCAAAGATAATACTCGCTTTAAAGCCTTAGAGCTGCTACACATGTGGGCGTTTAGACTTCATAGGGAGTCAAAGTTGATGCCTAAAAACTGGATGTAGAATCAGTGATGGAGCTGAGTTGACAAGTGTTTGCAAAGAGGAGCTACAGGAACAGACCGTCCTCGATATTGTTGTCTCGAATGTGCTACTTTAATGCACACAATGGAGTCGTTTTATGACAAAGCTTTTGGATGGTTTGAACAAGCAGAGAGCAACAGTGGCATAAAGAGAGCGTGTTTGTGATGTTCTGCTCTGATTGTTATACTTGGTGTGGATTTTGTTTTCAGTGTTGTTTGACTCTTGTTGAGTGGATTTAGAACTGTAGTTTCTTGTGTGCATTGCTCTTTTGGAGCTTCTGTTCAGTTGCTTCTTCTCTTTAGATGTGATTTATATTCTAGTCAGTTACATTATAAAATTAGTCTCTCCTTTGAATTTATGCCTCCCAGTGCTATATCTGGTTTTACCTTCCAAACTGACTGGTTAACTCCTCTTCTTCAACATTTTATTCCCAAGAATTGTAATTAATTAAAAAAATAATACACATAGAGCCTATGATCGAGCTTCAAATTCCTCACCTGCTCCTGAGGAGGCGATCGGAACTCTTTGGTCTTCTTCGCTGTGACAGCTGCAGACATGTTCAGGGCCAGCATAAGCTCATTGTAGCGGAACTTCTGGTTGTACTGCAGTTTGGAGACAAAGCTGTCGGAAAAGGACACGATGGCCTCGATGCGGTGCTTCAGCTCACAGTCACAGAAATAATGAAGCAGCTCGCACATCTGGAAAGCAAACAAAACGAGCAGGCAAACATTTGACCAGAATCAAACACTCCGCCCCCCCCCCCCCCCCCCCCCCCCCCCCGCCCCCCCCACCCTCCCCCCCCCCCCCCACATCAGGCCATACTCACCGAACACAACCACAGACCACTTAT